TTTTTTTTTTTTTTTTTTTTTTTTTTTTTTTTTTTAGTTTCTACCTTTTCACTTGTTTATTTTGTTTATTTCACATTAATTAGAGATTTATTTGTTTATTTTTTCTTGCTAATGATTTGAAATAGATTGTTGTTTCAGCTGCTGCTGGTTGTTATAACTTTTTTTATCGAGTACATTTGACATTTAAGTTACATCGCTTATCGACAAATTAAATTTTCATTTATGTGTTACCAGTTCTATTGCTTTTTTTCTAAGGTAAATGTGCTCAATAAAGTTACAATTCGTTAAAGTATAGTACCGAAATCTTGTCCTTTGTAGAAATATTTGAATCTTTTATTTCAATTCTAATTCTGCTTTTGCTTTTTATTCATTTATTTGTTTATTTTTTTGTTTCCTCTACGACGAATAATGGAAGTTGTGTGGGTAACGAAGAAGGAGGGGTTAATTTTTACGTGAAAACTTGGTAGCATTCATTTTTTTGGCTTTGCAAGAGTAATTTTTGCTTTAATTATAAAGCTTCGTTCCTTTTTGCTTTTAAAAACAGATAGAACTAGATACATATGAATAAGAAAGTGCGTCGCCTGCGTTTTACTCTAAAATCGATTGATTGGCGATAAGTGAGGAATGTGTAGCGTCACCTAGCGATTGTTAGATTCGTTCTGGTGCATTAGAACTCGCTTATTTTGGTAAACTTTCTTTCTAGTTTCAGCTCAACCTGTACAAATTATATTGCCGCTTCTCCTGTTCTTCGGTGTTTTCTTGAAAGACCTTTCATTACTGCTTCAAGAAAGCGCATGACTAGTACAATCAACTAAGCGCAGGTATTGGCGCATCTAGATATTATAATACAGCCTGACATATGTGTTGTTACTGTCTTCAGCGTTATTATCTTCACTCTCCTGCTGGTTCACTAATGTGTTAGGAGTTTCTGTTTATGCCCACTCATGATTCTGAGAAGGAAGCTGCGATGGGGAAAGTTTCACGTGACCATTCGGATGTTGAAGGGCGTGGTGAAGAAATGTCAGTTAATCATTCTTTAGCACGTAAAGAAGAAGTGATTACCCTGAATCAGCCCACAAGTTCACTAAAAGTCGCTTCGTCTACAATTGAGGGAAATGGCAATTCCGGCTTGAAACTTGCTAGGAAACCAGCACCAGCCAAAGTTTCTGGGGCGTGTTGTACAGCCAAAAGTAATTCTTCAGTCTTCCAAGGTTCCTCTTATCATTCTGTCTTTCCTTTTTTCTTTTGAAATAAATTGTTCTTAGGGTCAGCCATCTTTTTCAAGTTTCACTCAGTTTTTGAACAGCATTTTTACTATTGGCTTTTGGAGCTGTTTTAATATGTTACACTCAGTCACTCTTTTCAGAAAAAGTTTTTTCTGATGGTCTTTACGACGCGTGCGATACACCAATCACAACTTCTGGTACGCCTGCAACAGTTCCTCTAATTTTGAATATGGAGAAAAAAATTGAGCATGCTATTCATCTGATGTTCTCTAAGATTAAGGGTATAAAGGTGAGCGTTAGTGGTTTCTGTAGTATTTGATCCTTCTATGACCTAGTAAAATGTTACATTGA